AATAAAAACAAAATCAATAGTTTGGCGTTTTTTTTTTTTTTTTTTTTTTTTTTTTTTTTTTGGTGAGAATGTGACGGAGCAGAAGAGAGAGGGGGGGGGGTAAAAATCGGAAGAAAAAAAAAGCGTACGTCATTTAGAGATAACCCAAGAGAATATAAAAAAAAATAAATAAAAAAAAATGAAACCCAATACCCGTTAATATCATGAGCATCAATCGTGTGGTCGGAGTTTCCGTCCAAGATTTTACCAAGAGACGCTAAGTCTACATGGTCAAGTGCGCCGTTGTTGTTCGCGTCCACCACTGTCAGGGCGCTTCTCAGTAATGGGAACAGCGAGGATTCCGCCTTGTGGGTAGAGCCAGAAACGTTATCAGAATTAAAAAAAAAAAAATCCAAAACCTATAAGGAATTTGACATGAACAAAAACACACATACACTTTACCGTAAAACTCGGAAGCACAATCAAATTGGCCAGCAAAGATACACGCCAACACACGCACACATACACACGCATACACTCGCTCACACATCCATACTAGTATATATATATATATATATATATATATATATATATATATATATATATATATATATATATATATATATATATATATATATATATATATATGTTTGTATATACACACATACCTATGAGCGAGTGTATGAGTTTTGAATTGAAGAATAGGAATATTTTTCTAAGTTCTAATATCTACAAATCTAGCCTCAACATGTACTTAATTGATGTAATCAAACAACATGAAGTTGAAACAAAGAAAAATAAGTATTAAATTAATTAATTAATTAATAATTACAGCCGTCTGGTCAGGTATCAGGGCCAGCAGCACTAGGCAGACGACGAGTGAGGTCTTGGCACTGGAACCAGAAGAAGTGGACATTGCCTTGATCAAATTTTTTTTTCTCACTTTTTATTTTTCTCCGGGGGAGGGGGAGTATGGGGAAAACTAGATCGCATTGAAGTTGGGTGTGGGGGAGGGATTAACTACCTCACTCTAGCAGTGTTTCTTCCAGACTTTTTTCTCCGTGGGGGCACTTGATATATTCGGGGAGGGGGGGGGGGCGGACTGTAGTAAAAATGTATGTTTACTATATAAATTCCATCTCGTTCGGAGGGGGGGGGGGGCGGGAGACTTTCTTTCGGGGGGGGGGGGGGGGTTCCGCACACCCCGAAGAGATGCCTGGAAGAAACTGCACTCAAGTTAGTGAAGCTGGGCATAGTGCTTATGCTGAACATACTATTTTTCTAGTATGCCGCGGTTTTTAAAAAAAAAAAGATGAACTCTACTTCACCTGCCATATTTGTCTTGTGCAATTACGGGAAAAAAGATGATGATGAGTAGTAACGATCAATATTAATTAATAATTGTTTTAAAAAATATAGAATTTAAAAGTAACTTGTAACTACATTAAATGAACCATTGTTAAAATTCATCAATGGAATAATAACTAAAACGACAAATGAAAAACTAGAAATGGTATAAGTTTTTAACAATAACAGAGCATTGTTATTTTTTTAATGAAAGACTCATAACTGAGCAATGAGAACTGCAACAAAAAATTGTTAACTAACTACTGACATAATAAAAAAAAAAGGAGTTGATAAAAGTAAAGGGAGGTGATCTTACATTACAGACATCGTGTGAGTTGTCTTCTCGTGGCAATACGTTTGACGTGGCTACCCAGGACTCGAGTTTAAATACAGAGTTGCGCGAATTTTGTCACGTGATTTTAATAAAAAAAACAGAGGCGTGTCTAAGTTTTTGTTTTTTTTAATGTGAGGTTAATTAATTTTTTTCGGTTTTCGAAAATAAAACAGCTTTTTAAA